AATGAAGGTGGACATGTTACAAAAAAGTTAACGATGAAGAGACACGGTTGACCGTTTGTTGTCTTCGCTAAGCGTCATTGTATCTTGATTTGTCACTGAGTAGTTTGATCTCCTATTGCCAAGAATATCAGCTGCACATAGAATCCATCCAATTTCACTTGCCAGTAACAGGGCTTCCCGAAATCCAGCCAACCTCTCACATTATTTATGTATTCCACTTCCCTTCGAATTTGTTTGGGGAAGTATAATCACAGTTTCAGGCCCCGGAGAGCGCCACCATGAACAGTTTCGACAACCATTCAATAGCAGACACTCAGTCCCGAAAGTTCGGTTCAGATCTTTCGCATGACAGCTCATTCTTCAACGCACGCTGTTTTGCTTCAAGATTGGTACCTCTTGTTGGTCATGAATCCGTTGTAACTTAGGTGTGGAGCAGCATTGGTGAAGAGTAAGGTGGCAGTCGTTGCATCCGCACAATTCGAATCGTGAGTTCTTGCAGGATTTGACTTTGTAGCCTCTGGACCATCACTGCTGGCCATCAAGTAAAGGAACGTTCGGCATTGCAAGCAAGTCTAACTTCGGACCTTCTGACAGCTCTGACGGAGAAGTCTATCCCAGCTAGCCTACAACATATTGCCCTCCTCTTCCCTTCCTGGAGTCTCGCTTAGCCGGATCTCGGAAACATGGAAGTGTCATACTAGGTCCCCAGTCGCGGAACCTGATCCTCGGAAGAGATTCGAACATTTTCCAGGTGAGTTATGAAGTTTCCACGATCCTTGAACCTTCGGAAGAGGGGGATCGTCGCCGCCAAGGACGGTACCTGGCACGTGATAACACTTCCTCGGCGCATGTCTTGCCGAGCACGGCTGGAAGAGCTTGAAATCGCTTGATTTCCTAAGTATGGGGTAATTTTCTCCTTCCCCATCCATCCCGGACCCGTAAGTTACTGTCCCTCGTGTGCCTCTACCTCCGCATCCATCCATCCTTTGCAGTTCATCCGGTATGCGCGCCAACCAAAATCAGGCATGACCGGCGTCTCTTGTCCATCTGATTGCTGGAAGAAATGCAATCAATTATACTTCCATCCCATCTCAAGTGACAAGTGGGGTGAACCATCACGTACATTGATGGCAGGGAGAAGCTCGTCATAAACTGTTCCTCTAATGTAACCCTTGCTATACAGTCAAATTGCTATAAAACTAATATCACGCTCGCCAAAAAGCACAATGCAGTACCTCATCGAATTTGGGCAATTCCCAGTATTTGACCATGCGATTTCTGCACCTTTTTACTGTCCTTTCCGCCCTCCTCTGGGGCGGAATTGCAACGGATAACGGTCTGACAACAGCAGTAACATGGGATCCATATAGTTTGACCGTCAATGGCAGCAGGGTCTTCATCTTGTTAGTCCCCACGAATCTGTTATTGGCAGACATACTGACAGCTTTCAGCTCTGGGGAAGTCCACTACCAGCGCATGCCTGTGCCAGAGATGTGGCTAGACATATTTCATAAATTCAAAGCCAATGGACTTAATACTATTAGGTGCGTAACTCTACCTACGAATTCCGCGATTCCGCTAATCCATGCAGTGTTTACTTCTTCTGGTCGTACCATTCCCCATCGAAAGGCGTCTACGATTTCGAAACCTCGGGAAAGAATGTCCAAAAGCTCTTCGACTATGCGAAAGAAGCAGGGCTTTGGGTGATTGCCAGAGCGGGACCATATTGCAACGCGGAAACAAATGGAGGAGGATTGGCGCTCTGGGGATCCGACGGAAGTTTGGGGAACCTGCGGACTGGCGATGCGACATATCATGAAGCTTGGTTGCCATGGATAACTCAGATTGGAGAGATCATTGCCAGTAATGAAATCACAAAAGGAGGACCTGTCATTTTGAACCAGCATGAGAACGAGCTTCAGGAAACGTCTCATGTCGCCACAAACACGCTGGTAATTTATATGGAGCAGGTCAAGAAGGCGTTCTTGGATGCTGGTGTGACAGTTCCGTCAACACACAATGAGAAGGGCATGCGTTCCCAGTCGTGGAGTACAGATTATCAGGTACGTACATAACTTTCACGTACAATTGTCACAAATTTCGTGGAGTAGGAGATTCTGAGGAGCAGCGCCTGTTTCAACTCCTTCCTTGAAAAACATGCTAACCTTCTTGAAGAATGTCGGAGGTGCTGTGAACATCTATGCCTTAGATTCGTATCCCGGCGGATTTTCATGCACAAACGTCAACACTGGCTTCAACCTTGTCAGGACTTACTATCAATGGTTCCAAAACTACTCCTACACCCAGCCGGAGTACCTGGCAGAGTTCGAAGCCGGGTACTTTACACCCTGGGGAGGAAGCTTTTATGATGATTGTGCTGCAGAACATGACCCAGCATTTGCGGATGTCTACTACAAAAACAATATCGGGCAGCGAACCACACTCTTGAGTCTGTATATGGCTTGGGGAGGAACGAATTGGGGTCATTGTGAGTACCTCAGATCTTGGACTCTGTACTTACTGACAATTGTAGCCGCTGCTCCTGTGGTTTACACTTCTTACGACTACTCTGCACCTCTTCGAGAGACTCGACAGATTCAGGACAAATTCTATCAAACGAAATTGATCAGTCTGTTCACACGTGTGTCTACGGATCTTTTGAAGACCAATATGATTGGCAATGGAACCGGATATGCTGTACGTAATGAAAAAATCCGTCTACATAATTTTAAGCTAACAGTCCCAGGTATCCACACCATTAATCTGGACTTGGGAACTTCGAAACCCCGACACTGGTGCCGCGTTCTACACCGTACAACAAGCCACATCTAAATCAAGAGATTCAACAACCTTCTCTGCCAACCTCAACACCTCTGAAGGTGTCATCACTGTGCCAAATATCAATCTCGCCGGACGCCAAAGCAAGATCCTTGTCAACGACTATACGTTTGGCAAGAATACCCTTCTTTACTCCTCAGCGGAAGTTTTGACCTACGGGATCTTCGACGTCGATGTCCTTGTTCTGTATCTCAAGCCCGGCCAAGCTGGCCAGTTTGCGATCAAGACTGGCACTACAGACACGACACACAGCACCGAAGGGTCTACTGAAGTCGCAGTCGAGTCAGCAAATAGCACCACAACTTTCACTTACACCCAGGGCACTGGAAAGACGGTGGTCAAATTCAGTAATGTGCTAATCTATCTCCTTGACCAAGAGTCGGCTTGGAAATTCTGGGCGCCACCAACGACACTCAACCCGGATGTCAAACCTGATGAGCAAATATTTGTCTTGGGCCCGTACCTCGTCCGTAGTGCATCTATATCTCATGGAGTTGTCCACGTCTCTGGAGACAATGACAACGCGACAACCATTGAGGTCTACACTGGAAATTCCGAAATTCAAACGATTGACTGGAACGGGATACGCTTGAGCGCTACGAAGACCTCGTATGGCTCGGTCACAGCACAGATCCCAGGCGCTAAAGATCGAACTATATCTCTCCCTGCTCTCACCAACTGGCGCTCTAAGGATACTTTCCCAGAGAAGCTGGCGTCTTACGATGACACGAAGTGGGCTATATGCAACAAATCCACAACTCTTAGCCCTGTTGCGCCTTTGACGAAACCTGTCCTATTTTCGAGCGACTACGGATTTTACACAGGCGCCAAGATCTACCGCGGATACTTCACCGGGACAAATTACACATCTGTAGACATCACCTGTTCCGGAGGTCTTGCCTTCGGCTGGACCGCCTGGCTGAATGGAGATCTCATCGGTGGCAACGTCGGCAACGCCTCGCTAACAACCACATCTTCCATCTTCACCCTACCCAAGGCCTCCCTCAAATCCGGCGAAAACCTCCTCACAGTCGTCGTAGACTACCATGGGCACGACCAAACCTCCACCGCAAAAGGCGTCGAGAACCCCCGCGGTATCCTCGGCGCCTCACTCCTCCCCATCACCACCAGCGGCTCAACCGGCTTCACCCAATGGAAAATCCAAGGCAACGCCGGTGGATCCAAGAATCTCGATCCTGTCCGCGGACCTATGAATGAAGGCGGTCTGTACGCAGAACGTCTGGGCTGGCATCTACCCGGTTTCACACCAGACTCTTCATTTGACCGCTCCGGCCCATCAACTGGTCTCAGTACTTCCGGGATTCGCTTTTACACCACGACGTTCCACCTCAACATCGACTCCGACCTCGACGTCCCCCTCGGTATTGAGCTCGGTGCTCCAGCTGGCACTGTAGCTAGAGTCATGATCTGGGTGAACGGATACCAGTATGGCAAATACGTTCCGCATATTGGACCACAGACGAGATTTCCGGTTCCGCCCGGGGTGATCAATAATAGAGGACTGAATACTGTAGCGTTGACTCTTTGGGCTATGACGGATGCTGGCGCCAAGTTGGATACGGTGAAGCTGATCTCGTATGGTGCTTATCAGACAGATTTTGAGTTTAGCAAGGATTGGAGTGCATTGCAGCCGGGTTGGGATGAGAGTCGGTTGCAGTATGCTTAGATCTTGAAGATGCATTAGAGTGAGAGCCAAAAATACATACAGCTTTAGATAACCATTTTAACTTGAACTGAAGAAATGGCCGAAAGTCGCCTCGTCAGAGGGGTCTCGCTTCCCGTGTTTACCTTCCTATCAACTAGTCCATTCCTACAGTCCGAACAACACTAAGGGCCGCGACAGTCGCAAATATTACAGAGAAACTGATTGAGACTTATTTAGATATGTCCATCCCCGATATAAACACATCAAGTGAAGACCATACATACATCACCTCCTACATCCAAAAACCACTGTCCCACCCACCCTCGCTTACACCCAAAAATCTCCATCCCAGAGAAAATTTCATTTCTTACCCGCCCACTCGTCTCCACCTCTCCCCCCCTCCCTTCACAAACCCCCTACCACCCAACACCCAACCATATCTATCTATCCAAATAGCAAGATACCCTACACAAACAGCTTATTCAAACAAAGCAAAGCCCGGGTAGCTCAATCGGTAGAGCGTGTGGCTCTTACTTGTCACCCGGAATCCTCTGGTACCCAGATATGTATAAAAACCTCAAGGTCGTGGGTTCGAGCCCCACCTCGGGCTCAATTCCCGAGGTTCTTCTATGAAGAGCTTCTTTTTTGATGCTTTCTGGTTTTGGGTTGTTGATCTGAGGGTTCGTGTGTGTTGGGGTGGGTGTTGTGTCTGGAGGTTGGCCCGGATCTTTTTTTTTTGTTTTTTCCCCTCCTTTTTTTGGAGACGAGATGTTCGTGAGTAGGGATGGGACTTTTTTGACTTGAGAAGAAAAGGATGGCTTTGTAAGTAAGGGAGTAGATTCTAAGTAGGTAAAGTCTCTGCTAGATATCTGTAGTAAGTTTTTATTGAGTTTGTAGCCGTTCACTTTTTGCATTCCATTTCCAACATACCTACCTACCGTGGAGGCAAGCGAGGGCGGTTGTGGGTCAGTGATACATGCATGCTTGATGTATCACATCAGTACTTCCGACACACATACATAAATCACCTTGTGAACCACATTGCTGTGGAACAATGTAGCTAGCTAGCTATTTCTCAGACTCACACCTCCCCCAAGTGCGTGGAATCGAAAGTCGAGTAGGGGAAGAGAAGCTCGGGACTTATGCACGAAGTATTTCTTCCTTATTGCTTGCCAGACAGAGGAGAAGAGAGTAGAAGCGGGGAAAACAATAACAGAATCAAGAATCATCTGAGTAAGTAAGTAGTGGTAGCTCTTTGCAGGTTCAAAGGTAGTCGTCAGTGGCATATACGTGGTGAACTGGAACGATAGAGGAAGCGTTGCTGTTTTAACAAGCGGAAATATGCTAAATCCTGCCGGTTTAAAGCTTGCGAACATATGCGTACTTAAGCCAAAGTACTTGTTACATTTCCAGAAAATAGATTGATAAAATTCCCTTATCATGTAAATGCACTCAAAAACAATGAATTTGACGGACTGATATTACGCTTCATGCTTCCTTTCGACATTCATACCATACATACGCCTTTGCCGATCAATGCCCTATGCTATCTTCCAGTAGCACTAATCTCCAGACTCCAAAGCCCATGCATGCCTGCCAGTGAATTCATTACGGTCATGTACGCCACACCAGTGAGAGTATCCTTGTAGCCAATCATGGTTCGCCCAAAAGTCTGGCTGTAATGTCTCCCATATACGCCTCCTCAAGCTCATAGTCTTCCCCGTTATTCCGGTCGATACTGACAAAGTTGAAGGCGTCAACTACTCGGTCCAATTCGAATCCCATGGCTACAAATCTGTCGATCAGATCTCGGTTGTATCCTTGATATCTACTTCAATGTTAGCGAAGTTGTTTAACTCGAAATAAACTCCTTACCTGGCAATCAATATCCTCTCCTCCTCCTCGCGAGACAGAACCTTTTGGGATTTTGGCTTGGATGAGGTAGGCTGCGAAGCTGTAGTAACCTCCCATTGTGTTGACTTTGGTGCTGAAGCATGCTTGATAGCCCACTCTCTTGCAACCTTTTGGAACTGTTCTGGGTTCTTCATGAGCATACTCGCTACCTCTGCATCTTGTGGGTCCTTGGGTTCGGGTGTGCTGAGGAGGGATTGGAGGGATAGAAGGGCGGATTTGATTGTGAGGACTGGTGACCAAGCTGTTCCCAGAGTATCGAGACAGATGGCGCCCTGCATTGTTCTCAGCTTCACAGTATCTAACAGAGTCAAGGTATACATACCGTTTGACTGCTAACATTTGGGTGCCACAGCTTTGTTTGGAACTTCATGACTGGGGGACGAAATGGGTATTCGTTGGGGATGTTGATGTCTACCACGTATGTTCCACCTTCATATGGGGTATCTGGGGGACCTGGGAAGGAGGCGTGTAGATGTGAAAGGTCGCCGTCTGCAGCCTCGCAGAATATCTTGGACTGTGTATCATTCTGAATGTCTGCCAGCTCCTTGGCCACTCTTCGTAGTCTGTTGGATGCCATAGTGCAGAGTCGTGTGAAATCGAAGGACAATCTGGTTCGGGTACAACTTCGAAGATATCAGAGGCACCTCTTAAGAATGCGTTGCTTTGACGAGGCTCGAATGCAGGTTGACGTGATTCGAAACTATGTCCAAAGTTGCTTCGGAATGGAACGGGCAATCGAAAGGTTGAAGTGAACGCAGGATACTTTGACAGAACAAAATTCAAATTCTGTTAGATGTTAGAATACAAGAAAGAATAGACTCAAGATGTAGTTAGCATCCCAGAGCAAAGCAAGAGGAAAGGTGCTGGCAAAACAGTTGTAGGAAGCCTTACCGTGGGGCGGGTTGTGCTGGCGGGGTACAACTTGGGCGGCTCGAGCAGCTTTTAAAGATAGTATAAGAAGTTGACTTCTTTTTGTGACTGTTCCAGGACGAGACTGTTCTATTTCCAGACGCAGGCTGAACCCTTCTCTTTCATGAAGTTGACCGAAGGTGGGTGATGTCTCAACGTGGTTCCAGTGAATGTTGCAGCTTCTCAATCATTCGAGGCTGTGAGTTATGGATCCCGGCCGGGTCTTGATGCCTCAAAGTTCCGAACTTATGCCTAAATTTCAAGGCCCCATATGAGGCTGCAGTTTTAGTGCAGATTCAAGCTGCCATTCGCGTCTCTGTCGCCTGCTAAGCTTCAAGCTGGCGCCCCTTCCATTACAAACACCGAATTCCATACCTTTCTTCCATCAACCTCAACTTATCGAATAGACCAAACAGGTCTCTTCGGTCCTTTAAATCTTCACTTCTTGCCATAGCAGCGTTTGAAGACCGCTGCAGGCACGATGGTAAGCTTCTTGAACATGGGCTAAGATCACTATTGACAGCATCCAAGGGAAATCAACAGTCCGGGCTCGGAGGAGCTGGTCAAGGCGGGGACAACAAAGATGAGAAAGACAAGAAGGTAGGGGATTACTGTTTTGCATGATACACCCGATGATGCTAATGATTTGTTGTAGAAGGAGAAGCCCAAGTACGAGCCACCACCACGTCCAACGACGAGAATCGGTCGCAAGAAGCGTAAGGCGGCCGGTCCAAATGCCTCTGCCAAACTCCCCGCCGTCTATCCTACCTCCCGATGCAAGCTGAGATATCTTCGAATGCAACGAATCCACGATCATCTGCTACTGGAAGAAGAGTACGTCGAGAATCAAGAGCGGTTACGAAAGGCAAAGGCTGCGAAGGAAGGAGGTGCCCCCGTTTCTGCCGCTAGCGACCCTGAGGCACAGGATAGAAATGCGGACGAGCGTGGAAGAGTTGATGATATGAGAGGTAGCCCGATGGGAGTCGGAACTTTGGAGGAAATGATTGATGATGATCATGCCATTGTCTCCAGCACAACCGGCCCTGAATACTACGTCTCCATCATGTCTTTCGTCGATAAGGATCTGCTAGAGCCCGGTGCGAGTGTTCTACTTCATCACAAGTCTGTTTCCATCGTTGGTGTCCTTACCGATGATGCAGATCCCCTGGTCACGGTCATGAAGCTGGATAAGGCTCCCACAGAGTCATATGCGGATATTGGTGGTCTGGAATCGCAGATTCAGGAAGTTCGGGAGTCGGTCGAATTGCCACTTCTACATCCTGAGTTGTACGAGGAGATGGGTATCAAGCCCCCGAAGGGTGTCATTCTGTATGGTGCGCCAGGTACTGGAAAGACTCTACTCGCAAAGGCTGTTGCAAACCAAACAAGTGCGACTTTCTTGCGAATTGTGGGTAGTGAGTTGATTCAGAAATACTTGGGTGATGGGCCACGGCTTGTCAGACAACTTTTCCAGGTATGCATATTCAGCTTCGTTCTCTATTCGCCGCTAACATGGACAGGTTGCTGCTGAAAATGCACCCTCGATTGTGTTCATTGACGAAATCGATGCAATTGGTACCAAACGATACGAGTCTACATCTGGAGGAGAGAAGGAGGTCCAAAGAACCATGTTGGAACTTCTAAATCAACTGGATGGTTTCGATGACCGAGGTGATGTCAAAGTGATCATGGCCACGAACAAAATCGACACTCTGGACCCCGCCCTTATCCGACCAGGACGTATCGACCGAAAGATTCTCTTCGAGAACCCCGATCAAGTCACCAAGCGCAAGATTTTCACTCTCCACACCTCCAAGATGTCTCTGAACGAGGATGTTGATTTGGAGGAGTTCATCAACCAAAAGGACGATCTTTCTGGTGCGGATATCAAGGCAATTTGCTCCGAGGCTGGTCTGATGGCATTGAGAGAGCGCAGAATGCGTGTCCAGATGGCAGATTTCAGAGCTGCGAGAGAGCGTGTCTTGAAGACCAAGACGGAGGGTGAGCCCGAGGGATTGTACTTGTAAACGAGCATATGGTAGATGGAGGGGAGGATAGAGTGATTACTTCTCTTCGTGGAACTTGTATTCTAGAGAGGATCGTAATACATCACAGATGATGATTTGCTGAGATTTCCCTTCAGATTTTCGTCCACTTTTCTCATATGAGCAGTGTGAAGTGGGAGTGCATTTTAAAGGGGCGTGATCTAGGGCCTGGCATAATTGCTAAAGACAACTATCTGCTTGCTAGTCTTTTCGTGGCAGGAGGTCTTCCTTCCAATTGACCAAGTGGTGAGCACCTTCCGCCCTCGGTCTTTATTTCCAATTTAATCACATAAGCCTCTCTGCTCACGCCCTTCAACACATCACAGATTGGACTCTCTCTCTTCTCATCCAACAAGGCTTATGTCCACAAGATTCCGTCTCTATTTGTCACTGCCATCGTCTCTATCCTTCCAAAATCCATTCCTATCATATTTTGAGAGAGAATGAGTTCCCCTTTGCGCAATTTCTGTGCAGGTCTCTTTGATATGAAAGTCCGGTTTTGAAAATGCAAGACTCACTTCGGAACTCTCCTGGCGGTATTATGCCTTGATTTCTGTACTTGCGAGGTATGTGTCTTTATAGTGGACCCTATTTTCAAACGAAGCAATTGTCAAGAACTAACAATTAACAACTAGCGTCCGAGCCAGCCAGCAACCCACCACACAATAAAAACACCGCCTCAGTCCACACCACGGTACTGGCTTGACGAAGGCCTAACTCCTCGATTGGGCGTCATGAGACA